CCCGCTCTGAGCCCCGCCCCGGCCCCGCCCCCACCCACCTTGGTCAGGTGCAGCTTCCCGCCCGAGCCCCGGGTGCAGATGATGAGGTGCTTGGAGAACAGGAAGCACTGCCGCTCGCCCTCCTTCTTCAGGGACAGCGACCCCAGCCGCCCCCGGGTGATCTTGCCCTTCTCGGACATAGGCACCTGGATGAGGGAGCCTGCGGGCGGACAGGGAGAGACCCCGAGTGGCCCGTCTCCAGGGCGAACCTCCGCCTCTGAGGTCGGCTGTGGGGCTGAGGTAGGGACAAGATGATCCTAGTTCCTCGTGGCAAGCGCGCACTGGGATGTGTCCCCCCAGCCCCTCCTCAAGGTGTGGGGGTGACCAGAGGGGCTCCGTGCAGGACCCCTCGATCTCTCAGACAAGTGGGGAGCCCCAAGCACATGGCCCCGTGGTGAGAATGCAACCGGCAGTGTCTTCGGTGTCAGGAGGCTGGACAGCGGGGGGCACCCGCGGCCACGGAGCAGCCACGGTCAGTCAGGCACACTTCCCCGCAGACCCTCCATCCTCAGCACTTCCCTAGGAAGTCGCCGCCCACAGAGCAGGTGCATGTGAGGGACCCACTTGCCCGTGTGAAGGGTGACATGTCCTCACCCTCCACACATCTGCCTGTGCACTGCTCACCCTTCCGGACCCGCCGCCAGCACCGCCTCCTCCGCAAGCCCTGCGGTTCTCCCTGGTCCCACCCCGGCCACCACCCTGCCTCGTGCCCTTGCTGCCTGGAGCTCTTTCCCGCGTTTGTCTTTCCTCGTGACTCTCCCTGAATAGTCCGCTCCTGGGGCAAGGGTCTATCGTCTGGGTGTCCCTGGAGCCCTCGTTGGCCCGGCGTCAGCATTGGCTGTGTGACTGGACACTGCCAGGCCCCAGTGTGACCTCCAGGTCCAGCCTCGCTCCTCAGCAGGGGAGGAATGGCTTTGGCTTGGGCCCCAGAGCAGATTCCTGTCACTGCCCACCCCAGGACAGCTCATTCCTCCGGCCGCTTCCAGCAGGGGCCCGGTGCAGCTCCGGGGACAGGTGAGGCTGGCTCTGGGAGCAGGTCACAGGGTGGGCCTGTGGTCACAGGGCCACACAAAGGGCCTGTGAAGGAACTCCAACTCGATGGCCCCCTCACTATGGGCGGCAGAGGCTGGAGGCAGCCGCAGGGCCAGCGGGAGGGGCTGACAAGGTTTCCTCTAGTCACATGGCCCCAAGGCCAGACAGAAGGCACCCGGGGTCCACTCTGAAGTAGGGTCACCTCCGGGGCATGCATGCAGAAGCCGAGAACGTGCGCTGTGAACGAGGTGACCTTCAAACATATTGCAGCTGTCATGTCCCCGAGTTGGCAGTTAGCCCCTCGGCCACAGAGATACTCTGGCCACCCGTCCATACTGCTCCCTAGTGACCAGAATCTGAGGGCAGTGGGAAACTTCCTCCCAGAAGAAGCGCTACGGTCACACCTCCCAAGGGGCCGATGGTGATGCACAAAGGACAGGGGATGGACCCACGCTGACTTCCTCTCGGACGCTGGAAACGCTTGTGATTGCCAAGGCCATCAGTACACGTTCTCTCCCTCTGCCCCATGCTGTCCCAAAAAGGACATGTCCCTGTTCACCGGGACATGCGCTAGACGACCAAGGGCGTCTGGAAGGACCCCGTTTACAAGCAGAGGGACAGGAACCGAGTATCTGCATCTATACACATAGCCATCGACATCGGCTCGGAGCTGTTACGGTCCCCAGCAGACCCTGGTACTGCGGCATCACACTGGTAGGCGTGGCAGCCACATCAAGTGACGATGCCCCAAGTGACACCTGCCCCCGCGCCAGGGCTCGCCGAGCGCAGAGGCCGTACCTTGTCTGACGAAGGTCTGACTCGTGTCCAGCAGGATCTCACACCCCTCGATGATCATGCGCTCGATGGCCAGGTTTTTCCGGATGTTCTCTGTCTCGCTCACCTCGTCGTGCATGATCCTGTGGGGACCGGAAGCGGCACTGTCAGGAGGCCACCGTGCCCAGCGAGCAGGGAATGCGTGGGTCCGGCCGGATCTGGAAAGGGCGCCTGGCGCCCAGGGTGCTCAGTGACGAATGTGTCGAGAGCAGGCGTGGTCTGAGTGCTGGCCGTACGCAGGGCGCTGTATGGCATGATCTCATCTCTCCGACAGCCCAAGTGGGCAGGTGATCTTTTTTCAGAGGGAAAAATGATGGAGGTTGACAGCTGGGAAGCAGGGCTCTAGGATTTACAAGTCTGAACCACGTCAAGCAGAGGTAGCACAGGGGGGAAGACAGAAACACGGGAAACATCCTTCGCTCATTGCTGTGCCCCTCGGCTGGCCACGGGCTGTATCCTACCCATGGAAAACACCAAGTTCATTCCAGCCTCAGGCCTTGGCTGTTTCCTCCCCCCGAACGGCATTATACCGCTGTTTTCTAATGCTGGCTGCGGAATGGCTTGTGGTTGGTGGACAGGGCCATGCAGGAGAGAAAGGCAACATAGCTAGCCCCAAATGCAAAATGCAGAATTCTGCATTCCCACCGAATTCTGCTCAGGGTTACGTCCTGTTTGTCCACCACCTGCCGCCTGCAACACCACGCGTGTCCGCGAGATGGCACCATTTACCTACGTTTATCGATTCGACGTGGGTGGGCAACTGGACGTGGGCGTTATCGACTTTGCTGAGACTTAACGGGCTCCAGGAGTGTTGGGAAAGAAGCGGGTCGTTTTTGGTGGGGAAGCTAGAAGGATATCCCACCTAATTCTGCTCGGGGTTATGTCCTGTATGTCCACCACCTGCCGCCTGCAACACCACGCGTGTCCGCGAGATGGCACCATTTACCTACGTTTATCGATTCGACGTGGGTGGGCAACTGGACGTGGGCGTTATCGACTTTGCTGAGACTTAACGGGCTCCAGGAGTGTTGGGAAAGAAGCGGGTCGTTTTTGGTGGGGAAGCTAGAAGGATATTCCACCTAATTCTGCTCGGGATTATGTAACTGCTGTCCCCCCAACCCCGAACACTCCTAATAGTGCCGTTGTGTTAATACTGGCGGAGCAATGGCTTATTGGTGGAGGACCGGGCCACCAGCTGGCTCGGGGAGACTGACTTCAATACCGCGGTAGGTGCTGGCACGTCCAGGGGAGAAAGGCAACATAGCCAGCCCCAAATACAAAATGCAGACTGTCCTGTCTGTCCACCATCGGCCGCCTGCAACACCACGCCTGTCCACGAGATGGCACCATTTACCTACGCTTTTCGATTCAACATCGCTGGGCAACTGGACATGTGCCTTGCGGACTTTGTTGAGGCTTAACGGGCTCCAGGAGTGTTGGGAAAGAAGCGAGTCGTTTTGGGGTGGGGAAGCTAGAAGAATATTTCGCCTAATTCTGCTCAGGGTCTATGTACTTGCTGTTCCCTCCCCCTGAACGGCGTTGTTCGCTGTTTTCTTTTTTTTTTTTTAGGTGAGGCAAACCTTGATTGACCTCACAGATTGCAAGGACCTTGTCAGTTTACAATCCCTTATTTTTTTATTCTTTTATCTTTTACACCTACTGCACCTGTTCTTCCTAGGTGGTCTCCCATCCAAGTACTAACCAGACTCGACCCTGCTTAGCTTCCAAGATCAGACGGGATTGGGTTCGTACAGCTATTTTCTTAATGCTGGCTGCGCAATGGCTTATTGGTGGAGGATGGGGCCATGCAGCTGGCTCGGGGAGACTGACTTCGATACCTCGGTAGGTTCTGACACGTCCAGGAGAGAAACAAGAAACATAGCTAGCCCTAAACATAAAATACACTCTGTCTTGTTTGTCTGCAATCTGCTGCCTGCAATACCACGCGTGTCCACCAGATAGCACCATTTACCTATGTTTTGGAAACTCGGGAAAAGGCGTCTGAGTTGGCAGTTTTACATAAGTACTTTGATGGGTTTCCAGGAGTGTTAGGAAATAAGCGGGTCATTTTTGGTGGGGAAGCTAGAGGATATCCCCCCGGATTCTGCTCAGGGTTATGTAACTGCTGTTTCCTCTCCCCGAACAGCATTATACAGCTGTTTTGTTAATGCTGGCTGGGGAATGGCTTATAGGTGGAGGACGGGGCCATGCAGCTGGCTCGGGGAGACCGACTTTGATACCACGGTAGGTGCTGGCACGTCCAGGAGAGAAAGGCAACAGAGCCAGCCCCAAATACAAAATGCAGACTCTGTCCTGTTTGTCCACCATCTGCCGCCTGCAACACCACGCCTGTCCACGAGATGGCACCATTTACCTACGTTTTAGAAACGGGAAAAAGGGCATTAGCGTTGGCAGCTTTAAGTACTTTGATGGGTTTCCAGGATAGAAGTGGGTCCTTTTTGGTCGAGGGGATCTGAAAAGTACCACACCTACTACAAAAAAGCACAAAGCTTCCTATTTGTTTCCTTCCGCCTCAGTCTGTATAACGAGGTCCCCGGGCCGGCCGGCCTCTGCGCACGCAGAGGGTCTCTTACAGACACTCTCCATAAAGCCCACTGTGACTTTAGTTGGCACTTGCGACTGACGTAGCTGGCCTGATGCTGAGCAAATCAATCAACCCCTCTTGTCCTCAGTTTCTCCGTCTGGATTGTTGATCTGTGGATTGAAAACGTGTCTTCCGTCTGCCTGCCTGTGCTCACACATGATAGCTGCTTGCACAAACGGCGCAATGGTGCTTAGCGATACCGCACAGTCTCTTCACGTCAGTCACAGTTTTCGGTCATCAGGCTGGGGCATGGACGTGGTCTCGTCCTCAGCAGCCCCAGTTGCCCCTCCCCCTTGCAATGCTCTTGGAGAAGCCCAGGCCTCGGCCCTCTCCCGGAAGGGCGTCGGGGTGTGTTTGAGATCCCTGGGTGGGGTTCTCCATTTCCGGAAGTAGCCCAAGGCATCTCTCCATTCATCTGGATCAGGAGTGGCCTGGGCGAGTGGAGCTGTGTTTGGTAAACGGGGGGGTGATTCTGCAGGGCGGCCCGAGGTTTGCTGTTGGACCTGTGTCACTGCAGCTGCTCAGGCGGGGGCCGGCCCCAGGCTGGGGTTCGTTTTGGGGACACCCCTGCTGCACACCAGCTGGGGGATGTGGGAGGCAGCACGGTGTCCAGGGCCTGAGCCTCCTGGGGACGTGGCTCAGTCACCAGTGGGCCCAGGAGACGGAGGTCAGGAGAGGTGGGGGCAAAGGGCAAGGCGGAGGCGGGGCAGGCCAAGCAGGAGCCTGCTTACTGAGGCCTCCTGTGGGCGCCCAGAGGAAGGGGAAAGGGTGTTGTCATGGAGACAGGTGATCGCTGGGCGCAGGGCCGGGGCAGGCGATCGGGTGGGGGACAGCAAAAGAGCAGGCTGTACACAGGACCCTGGGCGGAAGGGGGTGAGGGACTTTGGGCAAACAGCTTGGCATTCATGTGCCACCTGCAGCCTGCATTGGGACAGGCATCCGGCAGTGACGAGGAGCCTGGCTGCCTCCCAGTCCCAAGTCTCCTTTGGGAAGAGTGTGTAGGATTTGGCTCCCTGGGGCACGTGAGGCCTGGGGTCCTCACCTGCAGTGGTTCGTCCGTGTGCGATCGTGGCCCGACTATGGCCTCAGCCTGGCCCTCCCCCCCACTCCAGCCGGGAGCCAGGGCCTCCCTGGCCGCCCTTGCCAGACTGAGCCGTTTAGGGCCCTGGCTGGGGTGCTGGGCTGGGTTGATCCTCTCTGCGGCTGGTGGCGGCCCAGCTCTGAGCAGCAGACCCAGCTCCTCCCGTGGTGACCCCACCCATGGAGGCCCCGGGGCTCAGCTGCGGCTTCCCATCTGGTTTCTGCCTGAAGTCCCTCCCTTCGTGACCTCAGCAGTCTGGGTCTTCAAATGCCGTCTGAGCTGATGACAGCGGAAGTCTCCTCCCCTGAACTGCAGACGCAGGCGCCCCCTCCTTAGCCTCAGCCTCTGCTCCGCCATTGTCCATCTCGAGGCCAACAGCCCCCCACGCGCGCAGCCCCTCCGGCTGGGTTAATCTCCCCACCTTTTAACGTGCTCGGCCTAAAGCTCGGGGCTCACCCCTGACTCCTCACGTTTGACCCATCAGAAACGCCATCTTCACAACACATCCAGAATCTGAGCCGCTTCCCCGCCTCCCGCCGCCACCGCCTGGTGCAGGCCGCGTCACTGCTGCCCGGGGCGCCCCTGGTCCCCGCTTCTGCCCGTGCAGAAGAAGGTCCGCTGGGCTTCGAGGACGGAGAGAGGCGGGCGAGGGGCCTGGAGTGGGGGGCTCATCCCCCACCGACACTGCCCGCGTGGCGGCCTGTCCGCCAGGACCCCTCGGAGCTCCTATGGCCGCAGACTCGGACGCGGACCCTGCCTGAAGTCACTCCCTTCCCCGACCGGTCCGCCCGGGGCGGCGGGCCACCATGCCGTCGCGCAGGTGCCCCGGCGGGCTGCAGCTGTACATCGGGGGCTCCCAGGACACACCCCCATGCTATCCCGAGCACGGGCTCGGCCCCCCGGGGCTCCGCATGCGCGGTGGCGAGTCCCACCCAGGCCCGGCCGCTGGCCACGCCCG